CCCTGAATCCTAAACCCTAAGCCCCTAAGCCCCCAAACATCTAAACCCTGAACCCTGAACCCTGAACCCTGAACCCTAAACCCGAGTCCTTGGCAAAATCTTCGATGGCCTTCCGCACGCCATCCACGCCCACCACGCGGTAGCCGAGGCGTGCGAGATAGACCATGTCCTGGGCCCAGGGGACTTAGTACTATAAGGGTTCTATATAGGGTTTGGGGTTTAGGGTTTAGGGTCTATACCTGGAGGCCCAGGAGACTTAGTAAGTAGGTTACAAGTAGGGTTACAAGTACCCTAACTGGAGTTACACCAATTATAGCCCTACTTATAAGCGACTTACTAAGTCCCCTGCGCCTCCAAGTAGGCCCCGAGCCACATGCTTTAATCCACAGATCTAGCAACCCTAATCCTTAAACCCTCTTGACCCTAAATCCTAAACCCTAAACCCTAAATCCTAAACCCGTTAAACTCTAAACCCTGATCCCTTCCGCTGTAGCAGCAGCACAACATAGCGGCAGAGTGAATTCAATCGAGGATGGAGGGAGCCTCAACACAGCTGCCTTGGACGCTATCCTCTTCTTATTGCATCATACCTCAGATGGAACAGCTTTCCGAAGATCAGTATGAGGTCAGGGTTTTGAATTTCGCGTTTCGGCTTGAAGGGAAGATTCTGCGAAGAACAGGAGGCGGCAACTCCCTGCCGCAGAATATCAACTGCCCTGAATGAAGCCCAGTATCCATGAAACCCCGCTGCCCTGTTGCAAATACCGGGCGCGCATCACTAGACGTCAACAAACCATGGCTTCCGGGCAGGCATCCACCGTCTTTCCGCACAGGGGTACCAGTATTCGAGGGCCCATTCCTTGGCAAGGAAACGGGTACCGCATGAAATGCTTTAGGTCATTGGACATCCTCGCTGCATGACTGGTTGATACGGGTCTAGCTGTGTTCGATTCTGTCATGGATGCACTACGCCCTACCAGCATTCTTGCAAGACACACGACTTCTCCTGAATCGCGGTGCTGTTCGAAACACGGCCGCTTGCCAGATTGCTTCCCCGGCAAAACTGACTGGCTTTCGACGGGGTCGGTGGGGCCCATCGCATCACAAAGAGCAGTCCCTGGAAAGCCACAAGTGGGGTTTAGGGGGTTTAAGGGTTTAGGGGTTTAGGGGTTTAGGGGTTTAGGGTTTAGGGGTTTAGGGGTTTAGGGTTTAGGGTTTTGACCACATGCTGGTAAAGTCTCCATTTGCCACAGATGCATCTGGGTCGATGATCTTGCTCAGGTACTTCTGAAGATGCGGATTGGCCTTGCCATTGCTTGGTTTAGGGTTTAGGGTTTAGGGTTGGCTCTCTCTGCTGGGAGAAGCAGCTTGGTCGCTTGAAAGCTCGTTGTGCAGAGCTTTGTTCAAGTGCACATTCCTAGAAACACGATTTCAAGGTTGTTTTTTTTGGGAGGGGGGTCGGTAGTATTGTTATGAAGAAGTCATAATGAGCAACCTTGAGAAAGGCGGTAGTTTACGTCATTCAGGGTTGGGTTTTCAACCCTAAACCCTAAACCCTAAACCCCTTTTGCAACTTCCGGCAGTCTCAAGAAACCTGGAAGCCCAGAAGCTGCAACCTTCGGCTGCTGGCTTCCTATTCATCTCGCCTAAGGTTTAGGGTTTAGGGTTTAGGGTTCAGAATATCTATCTGAATGAATGTGAATGAGCGACTTTTGGCGTGGCCACCTACATACCATGCCATGACGTGACGTGCCGTGCGGAGCGATGGACACCATACACACATGCACATGTCGGCTCGTATACATAGAAACAAATATCCGTCTAGCAAGTCTCTCGGTCTCTCTCTTACATTGTACACGTGCGCATCAAGTACCGTGCATAGAAGGTCAGCAATATGACCGCCATGTTGCCTCTTTACACCTTGCTAAGTAGTGGGCTTTCTGTCAACAGCAGACCATGCTGCGGCAGAGGTGCATCCTCCAGATGCCAGCTGATCCTTACTGTGGGGGCGACGGCATAGGGTTTGGGGTTTGGACAGCTTAGGCCTTGTTGGTTTGCAAGTGTACATGTTTGAGGCCCTGCAGCCCAGGCACGATCCCTCCTCAGCTCGCAGATAAGTATTCGGAACTCAATCTGGTCTTCGTGGTCTAAGTTTCCTGGGTCTAGGGTTTTAGCTTGGTGGTTAGGTTTATAGTTCCCTTGTGTCCTGATGCATGACTCTCGGATGCAGATAAATGCGGGAAGCGAGCACACACAAACACACTTACCCATAGTCTCCATTGTAGTTCCTTTTCTTGGTTTAACCAATTATATATTAAGGATGTTATAAGGTATCCCCAAAAAGGAATTACAATGGAGACTCTAGGTATCTCACGAATCCCCACATGCTGCGTCTTTGGCTTGGAAGCCGTGTCTCGGTGGGCCGACTCCCAGAGTCGCTAAACCCCTAAACCCCTAAACTCTCCGAAACCCAAATAGCTCCCTTATAGAATCCTCATCATCATCATCCTGACCTTATCGTATCTTTACAGGAATCCAAACCCCCCCCTTGAAATGCCAAAGATGCTCCCCTAAACCCTAAACCCCTACACCCCTAAACCCCTAAACCCCTACACCCCTAAACCCCTAAACCCTGAAACCCTGAAACCCCTAAACCCCTGAAGCCCCTAAAACCCTGAATCCCCTAAACCCCTAAACTCCTAAACTCCCAAACCCCTAA